AATGCAGCAGTAACGAACTACAGCTACCTGACAGGTAGGTTACCTACAAACTGCTTTTCGGCCACACTCCGCATACCTATTCCAGGCTCTGGATTCCTTGCAACAACAACAACAGCGTTTTTAACATACTCTTTTTGAATTTTCTTTCTATTTAAAACCTGCCAGGCACAGGAAGGATCCATTTCAGCAGAGAACACGGGTATTACTGATCAAAGCAATCCAGAGCAGCCGCATGCTCTGCACCAGCCACCTCACCCCTCGCGGAATGCCAGAGGCAGACAAGAGCCCGCCTGCTCTGCCTCTCCTGGGCACTGGAGCAGGGATTTCACATGAAGAGTAATTAATGTCTTTAAAGAGCAGACAGATGTATAGCTACGGTCACAGCGATGAAATGGGAAAAAAAGAAACTGGTTGAGTTCTGAAAAGGTCCCACTCCTGAGGCACTCGATCCTACTCCTGACAAGACAAAAATCATACTTGAAGTCAGCACCTCTATTAGTGGCTTCAGCACAGAAACCAGCATCTGAAGTACTTCCGGGCTGATCTCATCGCATCTCTCCATATTCACTCGCTCTCCAACAAGCCTGAAACGAAGATGCAGTACTGAGTTTGCACCCTGTGACTGGTCCAGCAGCCCCACCTCTCTCCAGCCAGTTCCTCTCCAGAGGGTCAAGGGAAGGGGAAGAAAACGTCACCTTTCAATGCTATCAAGTTGCATTTCCAATTGGAAAAAAAGGATACCCAAAATACCAATATACAGAACACAAAAGCCACCATCCACACTCTCCAGTGTGATGTCCAGTGTACTCACCAGTACACTGGACAGACTGCTGATCCGAGACTTTTAGAGGTACTGTACACTGAAAGGAGGAGTTGTTATGGCTTAGGCTTTTCACGCATACTATTGCTTTATTCATAAATTACTGCTTTCAAGGCGGATTTGAGTAAATAAATGACCACAGCAATTCCAACTGTCACAAAACAGCAATGGGATAAAGGAACAATATGAACAGCACCACATCAGGTGATCCAGTGATACATGTCCACAAAATCCTGTTTAATTCTTAAACTAAACTCTATCCTTCAGCACAAGCCTTTTGTTCTATCTTAGTCTTAGATTTAAAGGCCCCAACCGGAGTATTTTATCTACATGGCTAGATTATCTAACCAGAAAACACACAGCTCAGTTTAGTTTAACAGGAATTTATCATGAAACAAAATAACATTTTGATAAGCATCAACAAAGAATTGAGAAAAAAAAGTAAACACGCTAATAAATTCCCCTTTTTTTGGTCCAATACACTGTATGTAATAATGCTAAGATAAATGCTTCGTGATGAAAACAAAGAGAGTGTCATATTTCTAGTAGTAAAACATCATCTCCTAAAACACTTTTCTGTGGAAGGAGGGAGAGCACACGCCCTGGGCAAAAGCAGCCATACTTGATTTCCTGAAGTTTGCTTTAAAACATGTTCTTCATAGGTAAGTGGGTTGGGTTTACCGCTCATGTTACAATTTGCTCTTGACTTAGCCAAGAGATCGATAGGACTTGTCAACACTTAGAACTGTGCCAGAAATGAACTGAGCACAAACTTCCATGAATTAAAATCAGGAGGTGGACAGGGAAAAAAAAAAAAAGCAGCCAATGATTAACAATTGCCACAAAGAAAGCAATTAATTCACAGGCAGCTGTAGCTTAAAGTTATTTTAAGATTGCACTGGAGATTCCCTATTTTGTACTGCTGAAAGGGAAGTTATACACCAAATACTAGAAATACTGTGATTCAATAAACTTCTTTCTTTCAATGAGATTTCTCAGAGAAGACATTGTTGCCTCTGTTTTATTACTTCAAAAGGGCATTCCAAACACTTCTGCACCATACGCATCTTCAAGCTTTCTGTAGGTGACTGATATTACACTGACCCCTAACAGAACTCCTGCTCAGAGTCACTCTTTAGACCTCCTGCCAATAATTTAGATCATTCACCTGAAGCCATAAACATCAGGTTTGTGACAGTGGTCAACCTCTGCTGGAAGAGCTTCCCGTGCAAACCAATGATGACAGACTTCTGCCCTCGGTGAAGGAAACGCAGCAGGAGCCTTCACACAGCTCTCACGAGAGCAGAGTAGAGGGGGAGAATCCCCTCCCTCGACCTGCTGGCCACGCTGCTCTGGATGCAACCCAGGATACGGTTGGCTTTCTGGGCTGCCAGCGCACACTGCTGGCTCATGTTCAGTTTTTCATCAACCAGTACCCCCAAGTCCTTCTCCTCAGGGCTGCTCTCTATCCACTCTCCACCCAGCCTGTCCTTGTGCTTGGGATTGCCCCACCCCAGGTGCAGGACCTTGCGCTTGGCCTTGTTGAACTCCATGAGGTTGGCAGTGGCCCACCTCTCCAGCCTGTCCAGGTCCCTCTGGATGGCATCCCTTCCCTCCGGCGTGTCGACCGCGCCACACAGCTTGGTGTCGTCAGCAAACTTGCTGAGGGTGCACTCCATCCCGTCATCCATGTCACTAATGAAGCTGTTGAACAGCACTGGTCCCAACACCGATCCCTGAGGAACGCCGCTTGTCACCGGTCTCCACTCAGACATTGAGCTGTTGACCACCACTCTGAGAACAACCACCAAGCCAGCTCCTTATCCATCAGGCGGTCCATCTGTCAAATCCATGTCTCTCCAGTTTAGAGACAAGGATGTCCTGCAGGACAGTGTCAAACGTTTTGCACAAGTCCAGGTAGATGACACTGGTTGCCCTGTCCTTTATTCACCAGGGTCGTGACCCCATCGTAGAAGGCCACCATATTTGTCAGGCACGATCTGCCCTTGGTGAAGCCCTGTTGGCTGTCACCAACCACCTCCTCGTTTTCCATGTGCCTCACCATGGTTTCCAGGAGGATCTGCTCCATGA